TTGAAAGAATATGGCACATAAAACAAACCTGCCAAGAGAGGGCCGCCCACTAAAACTCACGGACCAGGCAAGGAGGGAATTAATAAGAGAGGCAACAAAGAACCCAAAGATAACCCTGAAGGAGCTGCAAAGCACCACAGCGGAGATTGGAGAATCTATCCATAGGACCACTTTAAGCCGTACACTCCACAGAGCTGGGCTTTAAGGTAGAGTGGCCAGAAAAAGCCATTGTTTAAAGAAATAAATAAGCAAACACGTTTGGTGTTCGCCAAAAGGCTTGTGGGAGACACCCCAAACATATGGAAGAAGGTACTCTGGTCAGATGAGACTAAAATTGAGCTTTTTGGCCATTAAGGATAATGCTATGTCTGGCGCAAACCCAACACCTCTCATCACCCCGAGAATACCATCCAATGTTTTTCATCGGCAGGGACTGGGAAACTCGTCAGAATTGAAGGAAAGATGGATGATGCAAAATACAGGGAATTTCTTGAGGGAAACCTGTTGTCACGCCCTGGCTCTGGGGACTATGTTATGTTGAGCCAGGGTGTGTAAGTCTATGTTTGTATATCTATGTTGGCCTGAGTGACTCCCAATCAGAGGCAACGAGTGTCAGCTGGTTGTCTCTGATTGGGAGCCATATTTAACTGTCTGTCTTTTCACTTTGTGTTTGTGGTTTCTTGTTCCGTGTTTGTTGGTTTATGTAACCAGGGACGTCACGTTTCGTTTTTGTTGTTTTGATCGTGTGATCATCTTGATAAAATAAAATGTTCGCATTCAACGCTGCGCCTTGGTCCTCCTCATTGGTAGACGATCGTGACAGAAGAAACCACCATAACAGGACCAAGCAGCGTGAAGAAGAGAGAGGATGGACTTGGGAGCAGTGGAGTAGGAGTCTCGACTGGGCCAAGCCAAGAGAAGAGGAGAGAGGTTGGACTTTGGAGCAGTTGGGTGAGAGTCTGGCGAGAATGATGGAGGCCTGGCCCACGGGGAGGAGAGACCCCCAGAAATGTTTTAGGGGGGGGCTCACGACGTCGGGGCAGCAGGAGGCCACGATAGAGCGGTCCAGCGGGTTGGCAGAGGAGGCCGCCAGGTTACGGGAGTCACTGGTCACCAGGGGGAAGGAGGTTGTAGAGGCACGGCGAGAGGTACTGGCGTGTGTTGCCAGTCCGGTCCGGCCTGTTCCTGATCCCCACGTAGGGCCAGTGGTGTGTGTTCCCAGTACGGGCCGGCCTGTTCCTGCCACTCCCACCAAGTCTGTGGTGCGCGTCGCCAGCCCAGTCCGGCCCATCCAAGCTCCCCGCACCAAGTCAGTGGTGCGCGTCGTCAGCCCGGTCCGGCTCATTCCTGCTCCCCGCACCAAGTCTGTGGTGCGCATCACCAGCCCTGTCCGGCCCGTTCCTGCTCTCCGCACCAAGTCTGTGGTGCGCGTCGCCAGCCCAGTCCGGCCCATTCCTGCTCCCCGCACCAAGTCTGTGGTGCATTTCGTCAGCCCTGTCCGGCCCGTTCCTGCTCTCCGCACCAAGTCGGTGGTGCGCGTCGCCAGCCCAGTCCGGCCCATCCAAGCTCCCCGCACCAAGTCAGTGGTGCGCTTCGTCAGCCCGGTCCGGCCCGTTCCTGCTCCCCGCACCAAGTCAGTGGTGTGCTTCGTCAGCCCAGTCCGGCCTGTCCCTTCTCCACGCACCAAGCCTACGGTGTGCGTCGTCAGCCTGGTAAGGCCCGTTCCTCCTCCACGCACCAGGCCGGGGAGCGCGTCGTCAGTCCAGCACAACCCGTGCCTGGGTCATGTCCGGAGCCGGATCCGCCGCCGAGGCGGAGTGCCCACCCGGTCCCTCCCCTGTTGTGGTTGTTTGGCGCGGTCGGAGTCCGCGCCTTTGGGGGGGGAGTACTGTCACGCCCTGGCTCTGGGGACTATGTTATGTTGAGCCAGGGTGTGTAAGTCTATGTTTGTATATCTATGTTGGCCTGAGTGACTCCCAATCAGAGGCAACGAGTGTCAGCTGGTTGTCTCTGATTGGGAGCCATATTTAACTGTCTGTCTTTTCACTTTGTGTTTGTGGTTTCTTGTTCCGTGTTTGTTGGTTTATGTAACCAGGGACGTCACGTTTCGTTTTTGTTGTTTTGATCGTGTGATCATCTTGATAAAATAAAATGTTCGCATTCAACGCTGCGCCTTGGTCCTCCTCATTGGTAGACGATCGTGACACCTGTTTCAGTTTTCCAGAGATTTGAGACTGAGACGGAGGTTCACCTTCCAGCAGGACAATGACCCTAAGAATACTGCTAAAGCAACACTTGATTGGTTTAAGGGGAAACGTTTAAATGTCTTGGAATGGCCTAGTCAAAGCCCAGACCTCAATCCAATTGAGAATCTGTGGTATGACTTAAAGATTGCTGTACACCAGCGGAACCCATCCAACTTGAAGGAGCTGGAGTAGTTTTGCCTTCAGGAATGGGCAAAGATCCCAGTGGCTAGATGTGCCAAGCTTATAGAGACATACCCCAAGAGACTTGCAGCTGTAATTGCTGAAAAAGGTGGCTCTACAAAGTATTGACTTTGGGGGCGGTGAATAGTTATGCACGCTCAAGTTTTCTGTTTTTTTGTCTTATTTCTTGTTTGTTTCACAATAAAAAATATTTTGCATCTTCAAAGTGGTAGGCATGTTATGTAAAACAAATCATACAAACCCCAAAAAAATCAATTTTAATTCCAGGTTGTAAGGCAAAATAGGAAAAATGCCAAGGGGGGTGAATACTTTCGCAAGCCACTGTAAGTGTGTGCCCTCAGGCCACTACTCTACTACCACAAATCTACAACACAAAATCCATGTGTACGTGTCTGTAGAGCGCGTATGTTATCGTGTGTTTGTATGCATGTGTCTGTGCCTATGTTTGTGTCTTTTCACAGTTCCAACTGTTCCCATCAGTAATATGCAATCTTGTGTTTCTTACAATGGCAATTCGATTTTGAGTAAAGATGTGAATTGGATACACTTTAATGCATGACTTTCGCTGTCTCTAAAGTATTGACTATCCCTGCAAAATAATGTTGATTGTGTCACATTAATAAGAGGATAAACATTTCCAATCAGACATTTCTTCTAAGTTTGTATTGACAAGTCAGAAGGGTGTTTGCAACAAATGATTGTCCTGGACCATTCATTAAAGATTCCTGTGTTGCCTTGTATTGCCTTCTGTCATTCAGGCTATGTGTTGCCACTGAAAGTGTCTTGCTGTTAACCGCTGATACTAGGCCAAGACAATGTTATGTAATTATGTAACATTATTGTTATTTTACATTAATTTTACAGCCTGGCCAGAGTACAATGTAGATTGTCTGATGTCATGCTCAATGAAATGGGGATGTTGTGGTAAAGAATAAGATGTTGATATTTAATTGTCAATATCTGTTTGAAAACTACTCTCCAAGGTCTTCACAGCCTCTGTAACTTCATGTGGAGTGCACTACAAAAGAGCTGTGACCGTTTTTAACTTTGGCGAGGAAAACGATTCTCACACCTTGCTAGGCAATGCTAATGAGTCATATTGTTACTCATTTCTTCCAGTCATCACATCTTCCTATGTGTGATCATTTAGTGTGCTGTATGTTGTCTCAATGTCAGGCTCAACTTCATCATAAACGAAATGCATAGGCCTTCATACATAAAAGGCTTACATTTAATGGATTTGGTGAACAAATTAGTTTATTTGAAATGGGACCTTAATGTTGACAAACTGCAAGTAGGTACAGCCTTCTTACTTCAATGCTACAAAGTAGCAGCAGCAGCAGTTTCCTGTTGAGTTATGCCAGGAAGGAAGTGAAGCCGACTATGGGTAAACCAATTTCACACATGGGCTGTGAGACAAAAACATAATGCACATCCTATTTGCAGTTCAGTTGCAGTCAGATACATTTGGCTTAGAATGTGGAGCAGGCAATAGAGGACAGAGGAAAAACCTGGCCAACATCTTTTATTTGAATTTCCATAATCCCAGTCACCATAAACCTATAAACTAGAGACAGCTTCCCTTTGACCTTCTGGCTAGCCATAAAGGTTACCATTCATCCAAGGTGCAGTGGAAGGCTACAATAAGTTAATGTTAAAGTCAAACCATCAAAGTTAGGTTCTGTCCATCATTGCCAATCCCCTCAGAGCTCCATTAGCCCGGTACATTTAAATGAGTCCGTACCGAGTGAATTTCCCTCTATGGTGCAATCAGGCAGCCAGAGCCATTACTTTCTCCTCCAACTTTAATGAGAGTAAAGCTGAATAAGATACTTGAGCAGAAGAGGGAAGAGGGGGGAGAGAGCGAAGAGGCACCAGGGGGACTGGAGTTCATTCTGCTCACCTTCTTCTCTCTATTTCTCTCCGCAGAAAATCTCCTCATTCCATCACTTCTCTCAGAGCCAGAGGAGTTAAAATAGACAGGAGACTCCAGAGGACCTGAGGTGGAATCCCAAAATCCCAAAAGAGGGACACAAACACACTACTCTGAGAGACAGACTCCATAGACCTTCCCATCGCGGCAAGGAAAGGTCGGAATCATTACAGCAACTAAAGGATTTCAAAGGAAAACAATTTATCTTTGGTCTTCAAACTTTCATAAACAATGCTTTGGTCTTTAAACCCCCAAACAAGGCACTTAAGGAAGGAGGTGAGGATAAAGAGATTCTCCCCGTGTCAATGATTTTTCTAGTCTCTTTCTATCCTCCCTTGCCTTGGCATATGCTTCTATATCAGCAACATCTTCACCATCAAGAGTTCCCCAGCACTAGATCAGGGTCAAATAAACATAGGAACAATCCCCTCCTGGTAACAGCAACACCCTTGGCTGACTAGTTCAGTCATCTATCCTTGTTCGCTATTTTGGTTCGCTTCTTCAATAGATTACCCTCAAAAGGAGTTGCTAAGACACTGTCAGTGAACCATGAAGGAAGACATCTTAGATTTTTTCAGTGACTTATGGAAGGTGGCCACCACCAAGCATCACCAGGGGATCTACAACACAGTCTGCCTGGTGGTGCTGCTAGCCCTGCCTATGGTGGTGCTCTTCACTTCTCTGGTGGTGTGCTGCCACTGCTGCTGCTGTCGCCGGGCCAACTCCACTGGTTGCTGTGGAAACAGCCCCAGCTCAAACACAGCAAAATCAGACAAAAAGAAGAAGAAGAGTCCCAAAAATGAGGATTTGTGGATCTCGGTCAAAACAGGACATATGACACCAGACAGGGAAGCCCTGACAATGGTGTAGTTGTAGTGATTGATGTTCAGATAAGGTTTCATTCTTTTGTATTTATATGAAGCTCTTTTTTACTGCAAGGTACAGGTACATAATGCCAGGCAGGGCCGGCCCTAGCCTTTTGGAGGCCCTAAGCGATATTTGTTTTGAAGTTTTGAAGTTCATTTCCTACAATTCTACACATTTTGCCATAGGGTGTACAGAAAATGTTGCAGTTTTAAAGCACCTTTTTTGCAGTTCTAAACATTTTGCCATGGCGCGGAAAAAACGTTGTGCAATTTTATAACAAATATCTTGCAATTCTACACATTTTGCCATTTGGCAGAGATAAAAAATGTTTGACAGTTTAAAGCCAATTTCCTACAATTCTACACATTTTGTCATGATTGAATGATATCTGAGTGAGAGTGACTAACAAAATCAATGGAGGCCCCCCTGCGTGCCCAGTCGGTATTCAGCCATGATTACTACAAATTTAGATAGCTGGGTAGACTAACTTAACAATTAAACAATTGTTAGCTGACATGGCTAATTGAGTGATTGTCAGTGACTGACATAACAAGAGAAAACTTGCTGATGCACAACCAAATTTAGAACTAGCACGTTGTGTATTCTACTATTCTAACTCTCAACAGTAAGTTGAGTTGAGTTTTTGGGTGCGGGCTAGGGGGCCCCCTAGCAGCCTGGGGTCCAAAGCGAACACTTATGTCGCTTATGCCTGGAGCCGGCACTGATGTTCAATATTTGTTTAAAAAAAAGTCAGTTAAGAACAAATTATGTTTTACAAGGACGGCCTACCAAAAGGCAAAAGGCCTCCTGCGGGGACGGGGGCTGGCATTAAAAATATATACATATATAAACATAGGACCAAACACACATCACAACAAGAGAGACAACACAACACTGCATAAAGAGAGACCTAAGACAACAACATAGCATGGCAGCAACACATGACAACACAGCAAGGTACCAACCCAACATGAAAACAACATGGTAGCAACACAACATGGTACAAGACATGGTACAAACATTATTGGGCACAGACAAAGGGCAAGAAGGTAGAGACAACATACATCACGCAAAGCAGCCACAACTGTCAGTAAGACTGTCCATGATTGAGTCTTTGAATGAAGAGATGGAGATAAAACTGTCCAGTTTGAATGTTTTTTGCAGCTCGTTCCAGTCGCTAGCTGCAGCGAACTGGAAAGAGGAGCGACCCAGGGATGTGTGTGCTTTGGGGACCTTTAACAGAATGTGACTGGCAGAACGGGTGTTGTATGTGGAGGATGAGGGCTGCAGTAGGTATCTCAGATAGGGGGGAGTGATGCCTAAGAGTGTTTTGTAAATAAGCATCTTGCGACGGGTATACAGAGATGACCAGTTTACATGCTCCATAGAAACTCTTGAAAGAGACTAAAAGAGCCGACGATATGTGATTGATTGTGTGTGTGCGTGCGTGCATGCATGCATGTGTGTGTGTACATATGCACGTACGTGTTGCTCTCAAACTCAACTCTGTACCTTGAAGCCAGTTCCACTGCATTTTTTCATTGCTTCCTTCTAATCACGGATTTATTTAGACCTGAGACAACAGGTGGGTGCAATTAAGTATCAGGTAGAACAGAAAAGCAGCAGGCTCCAGACTTCAAAGGGTAAGCGTTGAGTACCCCTGTGTTAGAGTGTGCACTTCTATGTGAAATTCATTGTCTTCATGTTGGGAGACCAGAAGTTTGAGGACTGCTTTCTATTTCCAATGCTGGAGGCCAGCAATCTATTATTGTGATTCAGTTAGAAGGATCATATTTTTTTATAGGTTAGACCATTTCAAGTTTAAAGCACTTGCAGTTATTCAACTTACAATGTGAACTTATATAACTACTTTGAAATCTTTTGCTGTATTTGCTATATCCACTGAATGGAGATCTCAATTCCATGTATGAGTTGAATATCAAGCGCAGAATTTAATAGAATGAAGTGAAGCACTGAGATCTTTCAATTACATTCCTCAATGTATACGTTTCTTTCCCCTTAGAGTATGCTAAAGCTTAGTATTGTTGATGAATGAGTGTTTTTACCCAACAGTTCCATGTGTTACGCTACCTTATGGTCAGATTGCCACAGATTCATGTGTACTGTCTTGCACTGTCCCTATTGGTTCATAAAATCATTATGCATATCCCCAGGCTCTCAGACTTTGGGCGCTGAGTGGATCTTTCTTACATCTTTATCCCTCAGTGCCAATAGACATAATTTAAACATGTAGTGATATTTACTGGCATATCATAGTTGAGGTTCTACGCCATCATTCAGTATTTTTTCCACCATTGTGTTGATAAAAAATAAGTTGTGTGCATATGTATGCAAATATAAGTTTATAATTGATTTCCAATTTACAAATCCGGTGACAAATCAGTTGCATTTGTTATTTATTAACTATCCCTGTTTTAAGATCCCTATTTTGAGCCTAATATGCTTCTGTATTAGTTATTCACTAAGCTTTAATCGATCCAAATTATGCATTAGAACATACAGGTAACTGCCAAATAAAGGAAATCCCAACATAAATAAGGCGTTGGGCCACCATGAGCTGCCAGAACAGCTTTGAGTGGCCGTGGTATAGATTCTACAGTCTGGAACTCTATTGGAGGGACGCAACACCATTTTCCCACAATAAATTCCATCATTTGGTGTTTTGTGATGGTGGTGGAAAACGCTGTCTCATGCATGATCTGGTGACTGAGACACGCACGCATGCGCGCACACCCACCCACCCACACACACACACACACACACACACACACACACACACACACACACACACACACACACACACACACACACACACACAGACACACACTTTAAACCCCTTACGCTACTTTGAGACCCCTCTTTAAAGTGAATGAGATCTCTTCTTGTAGCCATGGTAGTCAAAACAATGGGCAACTGGGCATTTTTATACATGACCCTAAGCACGATGGGATGTTAAGTGATTAATTAACTCAGGAACCACACCTGCGTAAAAGCACCTGCTTTCAATGTAATTGGTATAACTCATGTAGGGCTTTATTCAATCATATCCGCTTTAGCCGACATCCACATAGCGGTTGGTTTGATGTGTCAGAGGTGGAACTGTGTTAGAGCAGTCAAATTCACAAGCAGCTCCTGGCATTATAGCCTACCTAAAGTGGACATTGCCATTGGCTGCACGGAGTCGCATTAAGATACATTTCATGGAGCCTTGTTTACAAGTTCGAACACTGGAATGTGAGATGTAATCTACACCTCGATTAGGCTGATAGAAATCCTAATTATTTGAATGACTTTCGATTTGAGGGTCATTATTTCTATATAGCTTACACTGTCATTTTGTTTCTAATGCGAGGGTGACGGGTTACAATGACCAAGAGCAGCTGCTCTCCGATTTGACAGCTTCAACGCAGTTACACCTTTGACACCACCAGAACATCAGTTATGAGGGTGTCGGCTATCGCCAGATAATGCTTGATCTGATTGAATCTAGGCCTTACTCAAGTGTTTCCTTTATTTTGCCAGTTACCTATATATTCTGTCTGTTTGTTATCACACAAGAAATCGCTGAGGTGATACATTTTCAAGTCATGAGCTCAGGCCACACTGGCGACTGCATGAATAATTTATCCTGTCATTTGATTTGACAAAATAGCTGGAGAAAAGAGGGACAAAAATAAAGTATTTTTGTAGCTTTGTTGATTCTTTGTTGGTTGGTTCATGTATGGTTCACAATACATGTGGTTCACAATACATTTGTTTAGAAGATTTCTGTTATCATGTTTGTTGTATAAGTTGACTTCATCCCTAGGGAGCTTGGGCAAATGTATTATAATTTAATCTGATGTTTGGTAACCAACATAAAGCATTAGCATCCACACACTCTGGATGTTTGATCTCTTGTTATTTTAAACTGATAGATAGTGATAGTTTGGTTCTGAAGCAGTGACTACCAAATGATATGTGTCGAGATAATGATTTGGGGGTTTCCTACTCTCTGTCAGACATGCCGTGTAGCTGAGTCCTACAGCTCTGACAGGCCCAGACATCCAGAGCACAGACATGCAGTGAAAAGTCTCTGTGGGCTGATGGCAGCTTGTCTGCTTGACTGCCATGACACAACCCATCCACCCCAGCACTACTCCACCTCTAAGTCTTGTTTGAATACTACACTACCACTCATGGAAAAATGACATCAACCTTACCCATAGCCACACACACACCTCAATGGTGATTCAGCCTATGCTCATGTGTACTCTGTTGTATGAAAGCCTGTTTGTCAGATGACACATACTTTGGAATCTGAGCTCCAAACTTCAGCTCATGTTGTACTTGTTCTCTGTGAGTAAGATAAATAGCTACAGACTCAAAACACTGCTGCATTTATACTCAAAAGTGTAGGGATGACAAAATGAGCATATATGTTAATTGACAATTGAAGTAACCTTTGTAGCAGTAAAAAGCGCTTAAAGGAGTCATTCTTAGGGTAAAACTGTTTATTTATTTTTCTACGGGGGGATGACATTTGTCTAACTGGATAGAAATGTGTGAAGAATTGTGTGTGAGGCATTTCTTTCCTATTCCATCCCTATTACATTAATCTCAGCATTAACGACATGCTACGGTACTTTGCCGACTAAGAAAGTATTTTTTAAACCTCCCGCTTTGGGCTGGATGTGTCAATGTGTAGTTCATACATGTATAAGAGCAGAATACTGTCTTACCTCAATTAGCCACAATCCCTATTTTGAAAGCGACTGTTTTCTTGAAGCTGTGCCACACCATTTCCCCCACATTTAACCCCACGTGGGCCAGCCTCCTTGCAATTAGAGTTCTAGCCAATGAGCTTCAGCCCCTCGCATTTGAGTATTTCTAGCAAGAGGCCTGCCCTGCATTATCTAATGAGGTTGCAGGGTGGGCCCAACAGCTCAGTGGACACAGCAGAGAGAGAGAGCAATGACGTGGTGCACATATCTGCACATATGTGACGTAGTACGCAATAGTCGGGGACCACTTTTGGCTCGTGAGTGCTACTTTCAGAACTACCGGCTAAAAAGTATACAAAAGTATCAGAGAATCTCTTTAAGAGTCCACCTGCCCTGCAGTGCTGTTATAGGAACCAATCTTCTTTACAGTAATTTGCAATCAATGTGGTTCAAAATAGCTATTGCATCAATTGGGTCCTGTGAGACATTTCAAAAGTTCAGTTAGAATATTCCACAGTAGGCCCCTTCCTCTTCTTCCTTCTTTATCATTCTTGCTTAACTTTGTGAATATCTTTCTTGCATTGTTATTCACACAGTCCGATGTGTGCAAATCATTTCTCAGCAGTGGATTGAAACAACAGCTGAGAAACCAGGGGAAGTTGAGAAACATCAAATTGTGGTATGATACATGACTCAAGTGTAGGCTATCCTGTCAAAGAGAAAACCATAGTCGTTCAACTCGAAAATGACATAAATAGGGACCATTTTCAAACATCCTGTCAAGATCAGGTTACCTGTGAAGTTACGTCACAAAGTGATGTGAATGGTAGAAAGCAAAAGGAAACAGTTTTTTTGGTATATATAATCTTTCCTGCAAATCTAAGCCTTTTTCTGGGAAAGAGATGGGGAAATTAAAAGCTGTATATGAAAAACTGATTATGAAATCAAATATATTCTACTTTGTTCCTCTTCTTAGAATTTGAGGTAGCATATAACATTCAAGTATGACTCGAATTTGTTGATTTACCTCAATTCATCTATTTGATAAACACTGTGTGAAGTCAAGTCCCATTCAAACAGCACCCTCAGTCACTGCAGGCATAGATGCTAGTTTTAAAAATATGTTTTATTATTTATCTGAGAATGTGTGGCATGAATATTGTAAAAACGGCCAGCTCATCTCCTTTCCAAGACCCCAACTTTCTTTTGGTTATCTTATTGAAATAAGGTCATGCCAATCATCATCATTTTATTTGTTGATCTGCAGCCTTTTTTCCCGGGACTTAGCGTAATACCCGACCAGGCAGGGCCTCAGGCAGACTGTAGTTTCCATTCTGATGACCACCAGGTTTTTCGCTCCTGTTTATTCTACATCCTCAGAAAAAATTGCTTTTCTTTCTGATGTTTTATTGTGCGTGCAGCTAAATGTAAGTGGCAAAATCCTGATGTCTTGTTGTTTGGAGCTAAATAGTGTCTGTTGTAAATATGTACCATTAGTGTTAAACTTGCTAGCTAGCTAGCTAGCTCGCTTACTCCCGCTAGCGTTAGCATTAGCATTGTCAACCGGAATTAATTATTAAGTTCTCCTCTTTTTTTTACAGAACCACAGTTAGTACCAGAGTGAGTGGTGTTTTATGTGTGTGTGGATCTTCATTAAACCGTTGAACCACCCATACATAAAAATGTATGCACACATGACTGTAAGTCGCTTTGGATAAAAGCGTCTGCTAAATGGCATATTATTATTATTATAACTGGAACTACTGCTTCCTCGTGTTCTGAATTGACACCCTGTGGTGGTTCCTACCGGCCTAAAATCCAGCACCTAAGTTTATCCCTTTTTATTGGTCCTTCGAATTCATAAACAACCCATCTTTTTCAAATATAATCAGGGATGCAAACTAGTCACCTTTCGGCGAAATTCGCCATTTTTAATCCAAAATAGGGGCTTTGGATCACTACTGGCTGTAAGCGAACGAGTGATACGCGTTTGGAGCAATACTGGCTGCATCCAAGGCTCAGGGGAATGGAAGTATGTTGTGTGCAACAGGAAGTGGCAATTGAATGCAAGCTTCACCTGTTGATCTATTGGTAAAGAAGTTGACGTGTTATGCTTGACCCGCTCAGTTTTCCACCACAAAACACCAGAAAATGGTAGAACCAGCTAGCCTGCTTTTACTCAATTTTTTTACTATTAGATATTCAATGTTTCTTTTGAAAAAAATATTTAAAAAGGAATAATTTCACCATATTAAAACGGGAGTTCAGTTCATATAACAGGGTTGACCTTAAAATCAGTGACAGATGTAAATGAATCACTAATCACATGAAAGACATAATAGTCTTCAGAAATGACATTGTCAAAGCAACACAATAAGTATGGCTTTACAATGATGGTGAATCTTGGAGACATTTTGGGATTAAGTCGGTTAAAATCTTCCTAGCAGTGATACAGGGTTGATGGAGGGACATGTCAAAATGCTGAATTTTGGCATTTATTCATATTAGATATCAGATTTATTGAATTCTCGATGTGGTCTATATTAAAGGAGACTTCATTTAATATAACAGGCTTTTCATTTCTACTTAAAATATCAAAGGGACGCAAAAGGCACTATTTTCGTGGAACGACACAATTACAATACACATTTGAAAATACAATCTTACAAGCAGAGGAGCATGTCATACATTCTATTTGTTATGCATGACATCTTAAATGTGATATCTAGCTAACTCAGAGTAGGCTGAGTAGGCCGCAGACCAGAGCTTAGAAGAGAGGGTCAGGGTCTATGCTATGTTATGAATGTGAACAAGAGCAGTATAACTATTCTAAAAACATGGTGTCATTGGGATCTCACTGATTATGCATAATAGGAGCAGACAGTGTTATGAATATAGTGGCAGTTTTATGCCATGGAGCCAGCCTATAAAATGTAATCATATACATTAGGACAGAGGTAATTTGCTAATCATCTACGCCTGCGAGGAATGCCGCTTTAGGACAAAGCCAAGATACAAAATCCCTTTACTTTACAGTGAAAGTTGCAGTTCACTTGTTCATAATATATATAATACAAATATCCTATTCAAAATAAAGACGTATATGGCTGCAGCCATATGATATGTTAACTTAAAGTAAGTTATACAATAATCTTGAGATAGATTGATATTCCTGATTTGAGGTTCTAGCTACTTTGCCTGGTTTGTAATGAGGTTCCCATTGACTGCTCTAGTTCAGAGGGACTATTTTCTGGGAGCTGTTCTGCTGCTAAGCGACCTCCTCTTCCTGGCGGTGCCCACAGGCCGAATCTTCATCTCAGTGAAATCAAGAGACATCAGATGACCCTTCCATGGCTCCCAGTTCACACCCTGGTAGAAGGTAGAGAGAGGCACAGCCACACATTAGATAAGACAGCCACAGTCAGCCAGTTGTTTCATGATACTAATAACTGACTCACACTGAAGAGCATTTCATACTGTCTCATGTCTATCAAAATTAGGTAAAATATAGATGTTTTTTATTTTTTTATTTTATTTTATTTCACCTTTATTTAACAAGGTAAGCCAGTTGAGAACAAGTTCTCATTTACAACTGCGACCTGGCCAAGATAAAGCATAGCAGTGCGATAAAAACAACAACAACACAGAGTTACATATGGAATAAACAAAACGTACAGTCAATAACACAATAGAAAATCTATATACAGTGTGTGCAAATGTAGTAAGTTATGGAGGTTAGGCAATAAATAGGCCATAGTGCAAAATAATTACAATATAGTATTAACACTGGAGTGATAGATGTGCAGAAGATGATGTGCAAATAGAGATACTGGGGTGCAAATGAGCAATATAAATAACAATGTAAATAACAATATGGGGATGAGGTAGCTGGGTGGGCTAATTACAGATGGGCTGTGTACAGGTGCAGTGATCGGTAAGCTGCTCTGACAACTGATGCTTAAAGTTAGTGAGGGAGATAAGTGTCTCCAGCTTCAGAGATTTTTGTAGTTCGTTCCAGTCATTGGCAGCAGAGAACTGGAAGGAATGGCGGCCAAAGGAGGTGTTGGCTTTGGGGATGACCAGTGAGATATACCTGCTGGAACGCATACTACGGGTGGGTGTTGCTATGGTGACCAATGATCTAAGATAAGGCGGGGATTTGCCTAGAAGTGATTTATAGATGACCTGGCGACGAATATGTATTGAGGGCCAGCCAACGAGAGCGTACAGGTCACAATGGTGGGTAGTATATGGGGCTTTGGTGACAAAACGGATGGCACTGTGATAGACTACATCCAATTTGCTGAGTAGAGTGTTGGAAGCTATTTTGTAAATGACATCGCCGAAGTCAAGGATCAGTAGGATAGTCAGTTTTACGAGGGCATGTTTAGCAGCATGAGTGAAGGAGGCTTTGTTGCGAAATAGGAAGCCGATTCTAGATTTAACTTTGGATAGGAGATGCTTAATGTGAGTCTGGAAGGAGAGTTTACGGTCTAACCAGACACCTAGGTATTTGTAGTTGTCCACATATTCTAAGTCAAAATATCCACTTCTGAAACTTCTATCAAGTTCTATCTGTGCCGGTGTAGCCTTCATCAATACAGACACAAACGTATTATGCATCTCATTAAGAGAGGCATGATATAACTTCATATGACAAAACAATTCCCTCCCATTTCCTCTCAACATTCTTCTTGCAGACACAACAACAGTTCTTGTTAGCCTCCCTGTGAATGAAAGTTAGCTATTAACGTCTGCTATTTATAAGGCTTTTTGAGAAAAGTGTATCTTTATTGAAGTTGATAGATCTAGGACATAGCCATTTCAAACTAAGAATGGAAAACCCCTACTGGACGCTCATGTGCAACTACCATGGATTCTGTACTATGCTATCAGTGCCATCTGCTTGTACATTCTTGCACTACACCCCCAGAAAACGACATTGCGCACTTCTTACCATGCTGTGTCTGTTGTCTCCGAATTTGCCGTTGAGGTTAGCAAGGTGACAGTTCTTGTACCACCAAGCACCACGATGTGTCAGGGCACAGTTACCAAGAGCAATGTCATTGTCATTGTCAACCGTGGAGAAGGGGCGACCTTGATGGTAGTTCATGGCATCGCCTGGAAAACAATCATATACCAGATTCACAGCATCAATGAAAGCAATCCATTGTAAAAATGCTATTCAACACAGTCACAGTTGTGTGGTTATTGGTTGTGTGTGTATTTTGGAGCCTTGGGTTTGTTTAGTGTGTAGAATATTTATGCTTGTATTTGTCAAGGAATTGTTAGAAAGATACAAAGAGATGGTCCACCTGCTGTTCCACTGTATTTGCCGATGGTCAGATTGAACTTCTGCTTAGCCGGGGCTATCTTGAAGTTGTCATAGACAGCATAGGCCTTCTCTGAACCCACACCCAGGTCCACTCGCAGCTCGTATTGCGTGGGAGTATTGGTCAGCTCATAGATATTGTCCAGACCTATGGGTTAGAGTAAGATAATTGTGAGGGCTTATTACATTTACACTACCAATCAGAAGTTTGGACACACCTACTCATTCAAGAGTTTTTCTTTATTTTTATATTGTAGAATAATAGTGAAGACATCAAAACTATGAAATAACACATATGGAATCATGTAGTAACCAAAAAAAGTGTTAAACAAATCAAAATGTATTTTATATTTGAGATTCTTCAAATAGCCACCCTTTGCCTTGATGACAGCTTTGCACACTCTTGGCATTCTCTCAACCAGCTTCATGAGGTAGTCACCTGGAATTCATTTCAATTAACAGGTGTGCCTTCTTAAAAGTTAATTTGTGGAATTTATTTCCTTCTTAATGCGTTTGAGCCAATCAGTTGTGTTGTGACAAGGTAGGGGGGGTATACAGAAGATAGACCTATTTGGTAAAAGACCAAGTCTATATTATGGCAAGAACAGCTCAAATAAGCAAAGAGAAACGACAGTCCATCATTACTTCAAGACATGAAGGTCAGTCAATATGGAAAGTTTCAAGAACTTCTTCAAGTGCAGTCGCAAAAACCATCAAGCGCTATGATGAAACTGTCTCTCATGAGGACCGCCACAGGAATGGAAGACCCAGAGTTACCTCTGTTGCAGAGGATAAGTTCACTAGAGTTACCAGCCTCAGAAATTGCAGCCCAAATAAATGCTTCACAGAGTTCAAGTAACAGACACATCTCAACATCAACTGTTCAGAGGGGACTGTGTGAATCAGGCCTTCATGGTCGAATTGCTGCAAAGAAACCACTACTAAAGGACACCAATAATAAGAAGAGACCTGCTTGGGCCAAGAAACACGAGCAATCGACATTAGACCGGTGGAAATGTGTCCTTTGGTCTGGAGTCCAAATTGGAGATTTTTGCTTTAAACCGCCGTGTCTTTGTGAGACACGTGTGGGTGAATGGATGATCTCCGCATGTGTAGTTCCCACCATAAAGCATGGAGGAGGAGGTGTTACAGTGCTTTGCTGGTGAGACTGTCTGTGACTTATTTAGAATTCAAGACACACTTAACCAGCATGGCTACCACAGCATTCTGCAGCAATACGCCATCCCATCTGGTTTGGGCTTAGTGGGACTATCATTTGTTTTTCAACAGGACAATGACCCAACACACCTCCAGGCTGTGTAAGTGCTATTTTACCAAGAAGGAGAGTGATGGAGTGCTGCATCAGATGACCTGGCCTCCACAATCCCCCAACCACAACACAATTGAGATGGTTTGGGATGAGTCGGACGGCAGAGTGAAGGAAAAGCAGCCAACAAGTGCTCAGCATATGTGGGAACTCATTCAAGACTGTTGGAAAAGCATTCCAGGTGAAGCTGGTTGAGTGAATGCCAAGAGTGTGCAAAGCTGTCATCAAGGCAAAGGGTGGCTATTTGAAGAATCTCAAATATAAAATATATTTTGATTTGTTGAACACTTTTTTGGTTACTACATGATTCCATATGTTATTTCATAGTTTTGATGTTTTCACTATTATTCTACAATGTAAAAAATAGTAAAAATAAAGAAAAACCCTTGAATGAGTAGAGGTGTCCAAACGTTTGACTGGTAGTGTACATCATCATCTATTTCAATTCCATGAGAGGAACTCCTATGGACATAACAGTCCTATTGCGATACAAGAGATTAAAAGGATGTGTAAACAGTACTAACCAAGCCAGAATTCATCAGTCATGTTCCCAAAGCCGGCCATGTATGGTCTCCAGCGCTTCATGAAGTCCATCTGTCCATTGTTGCGTCTCTGGAACACCTGGGGAGTGATGTACAGTAGATCTCAGTCTCTGCTCACACACAACTTGATTGACAGTTTCTATTGATGGTCCATCTATCCAGACAGGTTTTTCTTTCAGTCATCAATACCATCAATCATAATGTACTTTAGCGTACCACCCATCCACCGCCATCAGTGTCCATGTCACAGTACACCTCCATGGGCTTGGTGCGATCACTGTTGATGTAAATGGTGTAGATTCCACTTGCCATGTTACCATTCTTCTTAATCTGACTACAGTCCATGGGGAATGGGTACAACAAACCCACTGTGAAGGATACAAGTACAAGTGACCAATTAATTGTAAGGTGAGAAAGGAATGAAACATTGCTAATCAAATTGAAATTATAGCACAAGAGTGTAGAGAAATGCTAACGTCTCAACACACTGATGTATGGATGAGTCAGACTAGTTTGGTGTGTGGATGATGTTCATAGAGGGCACAGTGTACCTGTTTTGAATGTGATCTCTATCACTCTGCTCCTCTTTGGTCCTCTGTAAGCAAGGAGGGTAACAATGTAATTCTTTCCCATCTCCAGGCCAGACATGGCAAATCTGCTCTCTCCTGCCCTCAGCTTCTTCTCCACAGCCTATTCAGAACACAGTGGAATTACAATCATTGGCTGAGACAACGAAGTGTCACTGACACAGAACTAAAGACCTTTGATGGTTTATACAACCTTTCACCACTAGAGGTCAGGGGTATAACACTGGAATACTTGTATTTTGCACACGATGCACACCAACAGAAACTTCATCTAGGATGAAATGTAATTGTGATCTCCAATTTTATTGTACCTTTATTTAACTAGGCAAGTCAGTTAAGAACAAATTCTTATTTACAATGACGGCCTACACCGGCCAAACCCGAACGACGCTGGGCGCCGCCCTATGAGACTCCCAATCACGGCCGGTTGTGATACAGCCTGGAATCGAACCAGGGGGTCTGTAGTGACGCCTCAAGCACTGAGATGCAGTGCCTTAGACCACTGCACCACTCGGGAGCCCAATACAGAAAGCCACGAAAAAAACACAGCTGGCTAATATAATAGGTTTCTATAGCTACATACATATACAGGTAAAAGTCAGTAAATTAGAATATTTTGAAAAACTTGATTTATTTCAGTAATTGCATTCAAAAGGTGTAACTTGTACATTATATTTATTCATTGCACACAGACTGATGCATTCAAATGTTTATTTCATTTAATTTTGATGATTTGAAGTGGCAACAAATGAAAATCCAAAATTCCGTGTGTCACAAAATTAGAATATTACTTAAGGCTAATACAAAAAAGGGATTTTTTAGAAATGTTGGCCAACTGAAAAGTATGAAAATGAAAAATATGAGCATGTACAATACTCAATACTTGGTTGGAGCTCCTTTTGCCTCAATTACTGCATTAATGCGGCGTGGCATGGAGTCGATGAGTTTCTGGCACTGCTCAGGTGTTATGAGAGCCCAGGTTGCTCTGATAGTGGCCTTCAACTCTTCTGCGTTGTTGGGTCTGGCATTCTGCATCTTCCTTTTCACAATACCCCACAGATTTTCTATGGGGCTAAGGTCAGGGGAGTTGGCTGGCCAATTTAGAACAGAAATACCATGGTCCGTAAACCAGGCACGGGTAGATTTTGCGCTGTGTGCAGGCGCCAAGTCCTGTTGGAACCTGAAATCTCCATCTCCATAGAGCAGGTCAGCAGCAGGAAGCATGAAGTGCTCTAAAACTTGCTGGTAGACGGCTGCGTTGACCCTTGATCTCAGGAAACAGAGTGGACCGACACCAGCAGATGACATGGCACCCCAAACCATCACTGATGGTGGAAACTTTACACTAGACTTCAGGCAACGTGGATCCTGTGCCTCTCCTGTCTTCCTCCAGACTCTGGGACCTCGATTTCCAAAGGAAATGCAAAATTTGCTTTCGTCAGAAAACATGACTTTAGACCACTCAGCAGCAGTCCAGCTCTTTTTTTCCTTAGCCCAGGTGAGACGCTTTTCGCGCTGTTTCTTGGTCAACAGTGGCTTGACACGAGGTATGCGGCAGTTGAAACCCATGTCTTTCAAGCGTCTCTTGGTGGTGGATCTTGAAGCCCTGACTCCAGCAGCTGTCCACTCCTTGTGAATCTCCCCCACATTTTTGAATGGTTTTTTTTTCACAATCTTGACTAGGGCGCGGTGATCCCTATCGCTTGTACACTTTTTCTGACCACAGTTTTTCCTTCCCTTTGCCTCTCTATTAATGTGTTTGGACACAGAGCTCTGAGAACAGCCAGCCTCTTCTGCAATAACCTTTTGTGTCTTTCCCTCCTTGTGCAATGTGTCGATGGTCGCCTTTTGGACAGCTGTCAAATCTGAAGTCTTCCCCATGTTTGTGTAGGCTTCAGAACTGGACTGAGAGACCATTTAAAGCCCTTTGCAGGTGTTTTGAGTTAATCAGCTGATTATTTTGTGGCACCAGGTGTCTTCAAAATGTAACCCTTACACAATATTCTAATTTTGTGACACACGGAATTTTGGATTTTCATTTGTTGCCACTTCAAATCATCAAAATTAAATGAAATAAACATTTGAATGCATTCAACCATTGCATATTTCCATGTCCACAACTAGAGTGTGTGTTACTGAGAATCAGTACCTTCAAACTGCCATCCTCAGCTCTGAATGTGAGGATGTAGCCATCGATTCTGGCTAAGGGAGCAGTCCAGGTCAGGGTAGCTGCATCCAGTTTAACATCCGATGCTTTCAGGTTTTTTGGTGCATCAATTTCTATGGAGAGAACATCCCAAAACAGAAGCAATTTAGTCAAATAGAATGCATGAATGAAAATGTCCAGAAGCAGTAATTGGACGGCTGAATAAGAATATGACAGCTAATTAAGTACTATTTATCATGCCTTACATTCCTCCATCTCTATTCTCCAATAAACGTCACTGTGTGTGTGTCTCATATTGAGTAGATCCTTGAACTGTTAGTTTGGGTTGACCAGAATTCCACTAAGAGTGAAGGAACCTGACAGCTCCTCAAAGATGATTATGCCTCTACACGATAACCTCTTGTTCAGTAATGACTATCTGCCTCATTGGACAATGAATGCATGGGATTATCATGAAAATACTTGGCTGTCGACTGGAGCCCCAGGGCAGATAGAAAACCTGTCTCAGCTGGTGTGGAGCTCTTCCTGCTGAACCGGGAGCCCTTGACAGCCCAGATGTAGACTGTATAGATGACTCCAGGCCTCAGCCCAGTCAGCCTGTAGGAGGTGCTGTCTGCCCCAACAGGGATCTCCCCACTGGAGCCCTCAGCAGAGCTGTAGCTGATCATGTAGCCGTCGATGTCCGCTAGAGGTCTGTCCCACGACACATCGGCTATGTCCTCTGTCACTTCTCTGGTCAAGAGGTTAGTAGGAGCATCCAGATCTGGAGAACCATTGATAGAAAGGTTAGTGCTCTTCTGTGTCATGTCATGAAGTTTGTGACATTTCATTGATTTATTGTATCAAGACCTGCTGTACCTGAGAGACCTGTAAATCACTCTAATTGTATAAGAGAGACTTTAAAGGGACAGTTCATACACCAAAATCTAAGTTGGTCAGATGTTTTCAGGCCTCAGAAGTGGTCTAATATCGATATGAGTCCATGTGCCTTGCCATCTGTTGTGTAAATCTAGCTACAAATAACTGCCAAAATATAGGAAACACCAACATAAAGTGTCTTAATAGGGCGTTGGGCCACCACAAGCCAGAACAGCTTAAATGCAACTTAGCATAGATTCAACAAGTGTCTGGAATTCTATTGGAGGGATGCGACACCATTATTCCATGAGCAATTCCATAATTTTGTGTTTTGTTGATGGTGATAGAAAAGCTGTCTCAGGGACCACTCCAGAATCTCCCATAAGTGTTCAATTGGGTTGAGATCTGGTGACTGAGAGGGCCATGACATATGGTTTACATTGTTTTCATGCTGATCAAACTATTCAGTGACCACCCATGCCCTGTGGATGGGGTCTTGTCATCCTATGGGGGCATAGCCATGATAGCCAAAAAATTGCTAGAATAATGGCCTGCCCAGCATTTTTATACATGACCCTGAGCATGATGGGATGTTAATTGATTAATTAACTCAGGAACCACACCTGTGTGGAAGCACCTGCTTTCAATATACTTTGAATCCCTCATTTTATTAAAGTGTTTCCATTATTTTGGCAGTTACCTATATGTGCCATCATCTCAAATCCCCAAAGAATGTGAAAAATAGGCACCATCTTAAATGATGAATTTAGACAGTTCCTTTCTTTTCCATTAATTTGGGATTTAGGTATGTAGCTGGACTTACACAACATATGGCATGGGACATGGAATCATCTTGCCATTCTGCCACTTTTGAGATCTGAAATGATCTGACAAACTTTGATATTAGCATAACTTATCCCTTTAAGAGGAACTGAAAGCTTTCTTAGAACCCCAGATGAACTGCTGAACAAAGACAACTCCTGAACTAACATCTTTACATTGTGTGGGCTCTCACCCTCTCACACTCAAAAAGTATGAGACAAGTTAGTGACCTGTCTCAGCTACTGTGGAGCTCTTCCTGCTGAACCGGGAGCCCTTGACAGCCCAGATGTAGACTGTGTAGATGACTCCAGGCCTCAGCCCAGTCAGCCTGTAGGAGGTGCTGTCTGCCCCAACAGGGATCTCCCCACTGGAGCCCTCAGCAGAGCTGTAGCTGATCATGTAGCCGTCGATGTCCGCTAAAGGTCTGTCCCATGACACATCGGCTATGTCCTCTGTCACTTCTCTGGTCAAGAGGTTAGTAGGAGCATCCAGATCTGGAGAACCATTGATCGAAAGGTTAGTGCTCTTCTGTGTCATGTCATGAAGTTTGTGACATTTCATCGATTTATTGTATCAAGACCTGCTGTACCTGAGAGACCTGTAAATCACTCTAATTGTATAAGAGAGACTTTAAAGGGACAGTTCATACACCAAAATCTAAGTTGGTCAGATGTTTGCAGGCCTCAGAAGTGGTCTAATATCGATATGAGTCCATGTGCCTTGCCATCTGTTGTGTAGATCTAGCTACAAATAACTGCCAAAATAAAGGAAACACCAACATAAAGTGTCTTAATAGGGCGTTGGGCCACCACAAGCCAGAACAGCTTAATTGCAACTTAACATAGATTCTACAAGTGTCTGGAACAATATTGGAGGGATGCGACACCATTATTCCATGAGAAATTCCATAATTTTGTGTTTTGTTGATGGTGGTAAAAAACGCTTTCTCAGGGACCACTCCAGAATCTCCCATAAGTGTTCAATTGGGTTGAGATCTGGTGACTGAGACGGCCATGGCATACGGTTTAAATTTTTTTCATGCAGATCAAACTATTCAGTGACCACCCATGCCCTGTGGACGGGGTCATTGTCATCCTATGGGGGCATAGCCATGATAGCCAGAATAATGGCCTGCCCAGCATTTTTATACATGACCCTAAGCATGATGGGATGTTAATTGCTTAATTAACTCAGGAACCACACCTGTGTGGAAGCACCTGCTTTCAATATACTTTGAATCCCTCATTTTATTAAAGTGTTTCCATTATTTTGGCAGTTACCTGTATGTGCCATCATCTCAAATCCCCAAAGAATGTGAAAAATAGGCACCATCTTAAATGATGAATTTAGACAGTTCCTTTCTTTTCCATTAATTTGGGATTTAGGTATGTAGCTGGACTTACACAACATATGGCATGGGACATGGAATCATCTTGCCATTCTGCCACTTTTGAGATCTGAAATGATCTGACAAACTTTGATATTAGCATAACTTATCCCTTTAAGAAGAACTGAAAGCTTTCTTAGAACCCCAGATGAACTGCTGAACAAAGACAACTCCTGAACTAACATCTTTACATTGTGTGGGCTCTCACCCTCTCACACTCAAAAAGTATGAGACAAGTTAGTGACCTGTCTCAGCTACTGTGGAGCTCTTCCTGCTGAACCGGGAGCCCTTGACAGCCCAGATGTAGACTGTATAGATGACTCCAGGCCTCAGCCCAGTCAGCCTGTAGGAGGTGCTGTCTGCCCCAACAGGGATCTCCTCACTGGAGCCCTCAGCAGAGCTGTAGCTGATCATGTAGCCGTCGATTTCAGCCTGGACTTTATCCCATGTTACTGTAGCTGTGTCTTCTGTCACTTCTCTGGTCAACCGGTTAGTAGGAACATCTAGTTCTGGAGAGGTATGAGTGTAAATATAGTAGTTTCAGTACATACTATGTAAGTAACAGGCACTAAAAGCTATATGTATTAGGAACTATGTTAAAGCATATGTTATGTCATTCTACTAGTGCAGTGTTATCACATTAAGAAATTAAAAAACAATGTATTTAAAAAAATACATTTTCCAACATATTTTTCTATTAATTATCAGTGTCCACTTTAACCTCAATGACTACCCAAGCTAAGAGTGTACCTACCACCACCCTGTTCGTTACCGCTTGTTAAATCTTATTTGAGAGCAGAAAGCTCCATGTACCACCTTCCCACAGTCCTGTGTCACAGTTAATTTATGTTTACTGATCCAGTAATCCTAGCCTGCCACAACCTACCCCATCCAGTCAGCAGACGAAACATGGGGAGCCCTGCTTGCCGACACGGCAGCGCTTGGATTTCACTCCTCTCGGATGTTTGTATCCATGTGGAATCCCGTTGTTTGACTTATGGGACAGGTTAGTGTACTATGTCTGTTTCAGTCATTTTCTCACTGAAGCAGGCGTCAAAGACAGTGCAGCTGTAGGCTTCCAATACATTAATGTCCCACACCAACAGTCCCTGAAGGCCAGACGACCCAACCTCACCTACAACCTAATGTAGCATATTGTTCACTTTGGGTATCAATAGGATTGTGGGGGAGGAAATGTATACATTGATTCGGAAAGTACAGTAGCACTAGGTGATGATATATCTGCGATATGAGAGCCAAGAGGAGATTTCCTACACAGTGCTTTTCTATAGCCTGTATTTCCTGATGGCGGGCGTCAGCTGGTAGAGCACTTGAGCCTTGTGTTTTAATGCCATAAACAGCAGTTAAAATGCATTTCTCTCTCTCTCTCTCGTGTACAGTTGATCTCAAATGTTTCTTAGTATTTTGCTGACTGGATTGACAGTAAGTGAAAGTTGAACAAATAGTTAGGTGAATCAAGGGGTTATTGAAATAGCCCCACCAAACCATTACTGCGTCCTCCTTTTATCTCAACACATTGACACACAAGAGAAGCATATGTTTGGTGTTTCTTTCAAATGAGTAGAATTAAATGAGGAAGAAACACTTTATATCTCCCTTATTTTCAATCTCCTTAGTTGTCTCTAAAACATTTTCACAAACATGCTCCACAGCTATAGGCTATGCTAAACTCATTTCAAAAGAAGTGTCTACCTAATTACTTTAAATAGCTTCCCCAGCACAGGTCTGAGTAAGAGTTTCCCTCTTGGCAAAGATGTGAGGAAGATAAATATTCACAAAAGTGCTGAGGGTGAAAGTCTGCCTGCCTGGCAGTTATTTTTTTCATGTTGCCATTGTGTAAAGTGCATCCCTTAAAAAGTGAAAATACAGCCCTAAGAACTATCCACAAGACCCGAAAATAAATGGATTTTCCTCTTCCACAAAGGACCTACAGAAAGCATAGGACGAGAAGGTCTCTCCCATTCATCCATAAGCCATCAGGATCAAAGTATAAAAAGAGACGTCACTTAAGACTATTTTAAGAACTGAAACAAAAACAATGTGAGCTCTATTATGCCCTCTGAGTCAGACATTTGGTTAACAGTTTACCTGTCTCGGCTTCTGTGGAGCTCTTCCTACTGACCCGGGAGCCCTTGACAGCCCAGATGTAGACTGTGTAGATGACTCCAGGCCTCAGCCCAGTCAGCCTGTAGGAGGTGCTGTCTGCCCCAACAGGGATCTCCTCACTGGAGCCCTCAGCAGAGCTGTAGCTGATCATGTAGCTGTCGATCTCTGCTTGTACCTTCTGCCATTCCACGGTAGCAGTGTCCTCTGTCACTTCTTTGGTCAAGAGGTTAGTAGGAGCGTCAAGATCTGTTGATATATATGAGGATGTAGGCAGAGAAGACGTTGTGTGAAGCATCACTCTTTTCTATAAGGACATTCAGGTAGGTGGTTTATAAAACACCATTCAAGCATTCATTTTATCCAAGTCGGGGAAATAATTTTCTGATGGGCCCTTCATTCTTGTGAGGAGCAGACAGGCCATAGTAGCAGTCTGGAAGAGGAACACAGAACGCAACAAACATGTCTTCATTGGCAGGATTTGGGCCCAATGCGAGCTAAAATATTGACCATATGTAGGCTGTCAACATTGGGCCAATGCGCATTTGCTCATCGGCTCAACGTTGGCCCCTAAGGCATTTGTGTGGGCAGTTCATATCTGGTGAAAGCAGCCCTCACTTTGCCTGAAATAAGCCCATCTTTTTCCAGCACAGGTCTTCATTTGGCTCTCTGATTTGCATACTGCTACTACAAGAGGTTGTTGGCACCTTAATTGGGGAGGACGGGCTCTTGGTAATGGCTGGAGTGGAATTCATGGAATGGTATCAAACACATGGTTTCCAGGTGTTTGATGCCATTCCATTTGCTCTGTTCCGGCCATTATTATGAGCCATCCTCCCCTCAGCTAATTTACAACATCATTCTCTAAAGAGGGTGAATCCTCACTACAGAAACAATAAACAGCCCGTCAATCTGGTCCACACACAATTTTTCAGTGCATAAACAAAATATGAATAATAATAATTACAGGCTCTAATAATTTGGGCAAGTAAAAAAATATTTGAACGTGCATTTCATGAGCTGACATAATGGTAGCCTACCTTTTGGCCTTTACATTGGAGATGTGTTATTTTTTCATGGTTCTAGGTCAATGTTTAAGCATTGTGAATGAAGAACCGTTTGGGAACCAAATGTGCCGTCTCTTTTACTTAAACAGAGCCAAATGAGCCAGCTCACCAAAAAGACTCGGAATGCCCATCTCTAATACATATATTTTTGCAAGACAAACTGTTAAGTTTCTCATACTGTATGTCACATGCACTTATTTAAGTATTTTCTGAGACTGTGTACAAGATTTTAAAAATGTGGGCATCACACAAGAAAACACTTTAACTGCAACCAAATATTCGAATGAGCCCCCTCCTCTAGCTGGGATTGGTGTGGGATAGCCTGTGTTGGGCTTGGTGTGGGCTAGCCCGTGTTGGGCTGGTGTGGGATTGGTGTGGGCTTGGTGTAGCCCCTGCCCACCTTGCCCACAAAATACCCAGATGGGGCGAATGGAGTCATGTTTGCTGGGGCATGCTCTCTCTCTATGAGGAAACAGGAGGACATCAAGGGGCTTAAGGTATCAGAGGACAGAGAAGAAATATGGCGGATGTGAGCAGACTGACAGGGGGGATCCAGAGCAGAGCACCCAGCAGAGCAGGGTGAGTGAGGGGAATGGGGCTTGCAGTTCTACGGGGGTCGCTGAAGTCAGGGAAGGCAAGCGTCAGTGGCATCAGCAGCCAGACAGAGAGAGGAAGTGAGAAGACATGTAAAAGCAATCATCATTTAGGCTATTCCTCCGCGACTCCGCCAAGGTCAGCTCTATGTCACCGCGCTATCCGCATCATGAAAACTGATTTATGATGCATCCAAAGAGAGAGTGCCGGCATCGGCAGCCACGTATAGGGTTGAGCTGCTGTCTTTTTGCCACTGTATGTGGGTACATTGCTTGACAAGCTCACAGAGGTTAGTGGCAAGAAAATGCCAATAAGTTACACATAGTATCAGTAGCCTCTGAGAAAGACCTGTGTACCGTGTGGGAGTTAAAAATGCAGACAGACACACATGCCACAGCTTTATCATCCTTTCCAATGTTTGGCTGCTCATGCTTAAACAAATTAGCATGTTGGTAGGTGTTATGTTTCTGTGGAAGAGGCCACGTTTGGCGAGGCCATGTCGTAGTGTATGACGGCTTGGGTTAGCTCAAGGTTCTGCCGCCAAGGTAGCTGAGTGGGGAGACTACAAAACACTGGTTGTGGTTTACCATGTGGAAAACAGCTTATCCATCATAGGCTTCCTTACAGGCTGGCGAGCGAGCTGCTAGCAGTTTGTTCTCATTTACACGCTACCCTTATTTAAACGGACAGTGACAGCAGAAAGTCGAGTGATCGAGGAGCCAGAAGGGTGCAATTCTTCCAGTGGGTGTCAGTGTGTATGTGAGTGTTGACCTAAGGTCCATCCACACAGCAATTAGCAGATCATAACTCTTTCTGCAGAGGTTTAATTAGGTGGCAGGAGAGATTAGTAACTTCAGTGCCTCAGACTAACTCTGAAGGATAAGGACTAAGGGTGCCAGAGTCCTCCTCCGCCCAGCCCAGCTGTACTCCACAGCTCCACACGGCCTTAAAGTCCAGGGACCATAATGAAGGCTAAACACTTTCCCTGGCTTTCACCTAGCCATGCAGCTGCTTCTAGTTATATGGCCGCTCCTGTGTAAACTTTATTGAATCTGATTCGGTAGCACCAGCAGACAACTATGTTGTGTTTATGAGCCTTACAATCCTCTGGCAGGTTACTATGACAGGTAGCAATTCTATTGATTTTGGCTTGTCCCGAATGCTTTCAGCTTGCTACAATTTATCTCTCCTTACTGAGCCCTGGCGACAACACTGACGCATCGTACTCCACCGTTTCATTGTCTATGAAATAAGGATTTATGATTTATGACAGGAGAAGAGAGCCATTCAATAAAAGAAGACAATGCACTCTAGCATTTTTTTTCACAGTAAATAAATAGCAGATCTTTCCTGAAAAAGAGAGGAATTGAAAAGCCATTTCCCCCTCTTGTTGTAAGTGGACCGGCCACTTGTGAGAGAACGTTCTGTAAAGTATAACTTGCTGAGAGGAAGGAAAAAAGCTCCTCTAATTGAGGCTTCCATAATGTGAGCTGTCAGGGGCGGCCCCACAGGATACAGTTTTAAACTCTGTACAGTTAGTAGGAGGCTCATATTCACAGACAGTCACAGACACAATAGACTGCCTCTATGTGATTGCTATTATGTTCATATTTTCCTATTTTTCTTTCACATGTGTGACTATATCGCTCTGTGGAGAACAAACTGGGCAGTAGCAATAATAGGTGACCTTTTAAAAGCACCCGGCCCACACACTCATCTTGAACCAATTCTATGCCTATCTAAGGGAACTCTGGAGTTCCAACTTCCAAAATCACTATAAGCCTTTCGTGCAACTCCTCAAGTGAAGGTTTCTGTGGTGGAAGTTGAGACTGGCCACCGTGTCTTGTGTGAAGATTAGCTCTGTGGAGAAGGATGTGTGAGGTAATGAAAGGCACCTGACAACCATCAAACGGGAACGCTACAATGGTTAACTCCCAAATTAAACCTATCAAATTTTACCTCAGGGCTGAGAAAACAAAAGCACCATCACCATAACGAGACAGGGAGCTCTCCTTTTGAACTACTACATCTCCTGAAATAGACACCCTAACAAAAGGAGCAGGCCAAGTTGGATAAGCTGCAATTGTAGACAGTCAAGTCAGTCAGTCAAATAAGAGGCAAGTAACGGGTTGGCAGGACCAGCTGTAGAAGTTAATCTCCTTTATGAATTCATCCTCATGCAAAATACTCAAGAAAATGCTTGTGAGATCCAAATAAGGAATTCCCATGTTAATATTTCTCAAAGGACTTATGTAAATCATGGACTATACTTACCTTATTATTGAGAATCTCGAGCGGTTACACAATGTGTTCTATTTCTCTGGTCCAGACACTCTTACCACGATCATTAGAACCGGTCCAGATTATTAAACTGTGATTTATGACCCATAATCACTACCCATAATTATTAGTCTCCCTGAGCACATTCATATTCTATTATCATTGGCTGTCACAGTGAGACCTAATACCAGGGTACAGTACTGTACTTTATCAAGCTATGCACTATAACACATTCTGTGCCTATCTTACTCCGCTGTTCCCAGAGTAGAGTTGGGAATGGTTTAGAGCAGGGGTGTCAAACTCATTTTCCCTGCGCGCCACATTCGGTCTTCAATGAGGTCCGGAGGGCCGCACTTAAAATGTATTTAATTGCCTTGCCGTCAAAATGTGCAAAAAATTGTTCTCTATCTATCGCTGTTGGAATTTTCGATGCTCCCTGACAGTCTAGCTTTCGTTACGATGACTGTTAGCAAGCTGGACAGAGTCAAAAGAGACTATAAATGTTTTGATTTGGTTTTAGTCATTTCAATGTCCATTGAGATCGTCCCCCTCCCCCCCACATGTGGTTTTGAGTTGGACTATGGTCCAGTGGCCTACCGCTCGCTGATGTTGGATATAGTATCCATGTCCCAGGTGGCACCCTATTCCCTATGAACTACTTTTGACCAGGGCCCACTGGTAAAAAGTAGTGCACTAATTAGGGAATAGGGTGCTATTTGGGACGCAACAATAGTGTCTCCTCACTCCCTGAAACCCCCAGAAATCGTCTGTTGTCTAGTATCAGCAGCAGTCACCTGTGACCCCGGTGGCGAAGGAGGCTTTCCCCTCGATGGTCCCTTTGATGCCTTGCACTGTGATGAGGTACTCAGTGCCAGGTTGCAGTCCTTTATAACACACAGGGGAAGTAAGCATATAGATTTGTAAAACCTCATAGTGGTTCAAGGTTCTTAATCTACCACAATACATTTTAACACTGTTGAATGATTAGCTATTAAGTTAAGGGACATAGATCTGTGAATACTCAAAGGGCTATGAGTGTTCTGCTCAAGTGGGGAGAGGTGGAGACCGTTAGGGAGAACATGAAGTACTATTCTACTCAAAGGTACTAAAATATGATGGACTATTCTATTAAAATCTATTCCAGACGGTGTTGTCCTTGTTTAAATGACGTACCTACGATAGTGTGGGTGGTCCTGGCCTCTGCACTCATTGGTACGTTCTGCTCCTCCTCCTGCCCATCAGGGTTGGCATGGGTCAGTCTGAAGTGGTCCAGAGGTGCTGCAGGGTTCTGCCAGTCCACCTGGATAGAGTCCTCAGTCTGGCCCAATACACGGATAGCATCAATACCAGACACCTCTGTGTAGGGTCAACATGGTCTCATTAGAATATGCCAGAGTAGTGACATTTAACCATTTAAATGTCACCTGAGTTGACATATAAATTATATGTCCATGTTAGTTATATGGTTAGAGTTAGGTACAAGTTAAGAGAGAGGTCTAATAGGGTACCAAAGAGTGTCATAGCTATCATACAGAACCAGGGACCAGGGCATGTTTCCTACTGGTTTCTATGAGACGCTTCCTATATGTGATTTTGCATATAAGCCCATTCAAGGCCAGGAAAAATAAATTAAAGACCGAAAAGGGCTGACTAATGTTCTTTAACAGTTATTTCTAATGGGAAAAAAATATTTAAAACCATTTGAAAGGGATAACGTTTTAAGTTAAGCATATTGTCTCACGCTAAGTCTTCGTCATAGCCAGATTATCAGGCCTTTACTTATACCCAGACAGGAATTTCATGCACTGAGATGTTTTCCATGGCTAACCGCATAGCAGAGCCCAGGGCCCAAGGCTCTGTGCTCTGTGCCTCTCTTCGCCACATCTGTAAACTAGCCTCATTTCCATAAAATGTGTCTACGGCTTCATATCCTTTAATTAGGCTGACTAGTGTAATTACCTTGAACCTAATGGTAAACGAACTATCACTAAGTGAATCATTTAGTACAAACAGTATTCAGGGTTATTGGGGCAATCTGTACATAGTGAGTTTTATGTGATGACAGAAAATGTAAATTGGCATTCAGAACCACTTTCTACAAACGAAAGCACCTGCACTTGTGAGAAAAATATACAAATCAATGTTATGAGAAACATACTGTACTTTCCTCTGTAGTTCACTTCACTCCCTTACCTGTGGTCGCCTCTATCCTGTCCCCCTCGCTCTGGATCTCCTTGGTGACAGCGTACACCTGCACTATGTAGGTGACACCTGGGCTGAGTCCTGTGATCAGGTAGGAGGTATCTGTGTTGGGCACGGTGACCCGATCCAGCTCTGCCTCATTGCCCTCAGGGTGCCAGGTCAGGACGTAGTACTCTGCTGCTTTCACAGCCTCCCACTCCACCAGCAGAGAGACATCAGTCACCCTTACCAGACGCAGGCCGTTAGGGCCCAACACTGAGGGGGACACAGAGGTATGATTAGTTAAGGGACAGTTCAAAACTATGTTACTCACTATGTTATTGTGATGAATTCGAGGGGTAGCCCCAACCAGGAGAAACATGGGGGCCTGTCAGTCCAACACTTCAGCTGTTAGGCCAAGAGTTCTGGACCGCTTGGCGAGGTCAGTAGGTGTTGTATACTAAGGTCGCTATGTTATTGCTCTCTTTTTTTTAAAACTATTTTCACACTTCACTCAATGTAACTCTGACAGAAATAATGTATCTGATTTAAGGAAAACACCATTTTGAAAATTGGGGAAAATATATTGCTTTTCTGTGGTTACAGTGTGATACTGTATTTAGCCAGGATACTTCAATCAAGATGGTGGAAAATAGGGTTGGGCGAATCAGACAGTATGGGGGGACTTTTCAATAACATGAACGTGAGCCAAGGAGACGGCCAGTCAGCAGTGTACGAAGCAAACTTTCCAAGCCAAGATATTCCTGCGGGTACAGGGAAATGCACGAAAGACCGACCGTAGGTGGTGAATTAAAGCGCAGAAAAAGCGTAAGTGTACATTGGGGGAAATATGAAATAGGTGCTTAAGAGACCACATTTACCAGGAAAGAATTCACAGCAGGTTTGGAAATTGTTCCACATGGTGAAGGCAGGAAGCTCAATGTTTTCCTTCTCTTCAGCAGGAGCCTTTCCATCCAGTGGCAGTTAATACGCCTGTTCCTGCCAGTAACAATTTTGCCCTTAAATAATATTTCAGAACAGCCAAAAGGATTAATAAATTAACATCTAACGATTCGGAAAAAGCAAAAGGAACAGAAACTTGTGTTTTCACTGATTGATAACAAGGAAAGCATATTTTGAATAAGAAAATTACTACCGTAATTTTCGGACTATAAGCCGCGCCTTTTTTCCCATTTTTCGACCCTGCGGTTTATATAACGGTGTGGCTAATCTATGGATCTTTACAGCTAACGGCCACTAGAAGACCTCCTAAATCTATGGATTTTACAGGTTACAGTCCACCAACTTTAACTCTATGGGCTCTATGACCGGTCCGCGCCCCCCACCTTTAAGCGGCGGGCTCCAGCAGGAAAAGCTGGAGGCCGGAAAAGAGTGAGACAGGTAGCGCGCAAAAGTAAAAGTGGAACCGAGAGTGGTACGAGAGACAGAACGAGAGACAGAACGAGAGCAAGACAGACAGACATTACGAGAGCGAGACAGTTTGTCTCTTTTCCGACAATCCCCTCTGTGCACGAACCCTTACATATGGTAATTTAACATTAAAACACCTGCGGCTTATAGTCCAGTGCGGCTTATATATGTACACATCATTCAATATCATTCAATTTAGCTGCTGCGGCTTATACTCCGGTGCGCCTTATAGTGCGGAAAATACGGTAAATTATGTTTGGACTTCATAAAGAAGGGAGTCATACATTTACAGTGGCAGGTTCTCAGCCAAGGACACATCATTATGGTGTTAAAAACATTTTGAAACAACTGTAAATGGGATTTCCATCAAGTGGGCCAAACGTGTGCTGCTCAGTGTTCTCTGTCGTAATTAATACCAAAAACAAGTGAGGAAGCACATGTACTGTTTCCATGTAGTAAAAAGTTACCGTACGTAATGTCAATGCATTTGGACATTGCTAAAGGGTACAGTATGTTATTCAAATAAAATTCAAGACCACCAATTTGAGAATGGACGTGATTCTCAAATGTGAAGCAGAAATATGAATGTACATTTCTGCTTGGAACTGTCATTTGTTGAAGTGAGAGATCCCACTTTTCAGTGACTCACAAAAGGTCCTGTTTTTACTGAGTCTACCATGGTGAAAAGAGCATTAAAGCAGACCAAATCCACATGCAGGGCATTGATCTGGCAATTAGAAATCCATAGAAATCAACCAAGGCTTTTTGTGGGCAGAATAAAACCCTTTAGGTTTTCTCTTGATGATTTATTTGAAATGTGTGTCTGAGTTCTTTATCAATGTACAAATCTCCAAAGGCCTACATTTCAGATCCCAGACTCAATCATAGTTGTGAAATATGAAGGTTAGCATTGCTTTTGGTGGTCAGTAAAAGAAAAACAGCATTGGTGATGATGATGCACCTGAAGGTCTGATCATTTTCTGTACTCTAAAAAGCCAATGTTTGTGAAAAAGATACCTATTCACCATATACCGTAGCCTCAAATGCACTCTTGCCATACAAAACAGAAAATGTCTCAGTATACTGTAGCTTTTGTCCTATACTCATAGTATTTCTCCTCCAAATCCAACTCATAAACTATAGCCTCCCTCTTTCCCCTTGACACGTCCCTGTTGTTGTTGGAAACAACAGTTCAACAGTTCAACAGTTCCTACATGCACCTTGCTATAAATCTCTCCAAATCTCTCTTGCGGCACAGCTTGAAAATCTGACAATGGCTGATTGCAATAGCCGACCTGCTACCATGGGTCTGTGCACAAGGCATCATTAGACAGTTGATTGGCAGACATGGTTTGAGGCTGCAGCAATTACTGTCACTTTCAAAAGTGTGGATGAAGTGAATTTATTTGTCAGAATGTTTTGACCGCAAATGTTCTGCTTAACTGCTATTTAATTAATAGTCAAATAACTTCAATACCTAATGTCAAGTTAGTCAAAGTGTTTATGAAACCTCAGAACCCTAAGGCTGTAGGCTGTAGATTTTCTACATTCTCTGTAGATTTTCTGCATTCCAGTTCTGCGAATCAACAAAAGGTAGAGTTTGCTATTAAAGACCTGGGCCATCTCAAACTAGGAGTGCTGATCTTGGATCAGTTTTCCCTTTTATATAATAATGAATAAGACATAATGACCTGATTATGACCTCAGCCTACACTACTGGTCAAAAGTTTTAGAACACCTACTCATTCAAGGGTTTTTCTCTATTTTACTATTTTCTACATTGTAGAATAATAGTGAAGATATCAAAACTATGAAATAACACATATGGAATCATGTAGTAACCAAAACAAGTGTTAAACAAATCAAAATATATTTTATATTTGAGATTCTTGAAATAGCCACCCTTTGCCTTGATGACAACTTTACACACTTTTGGCATTCTCTCAACCAGCTTCATGAGGTAGTCACCTGGAATGCATTTCAATTAATAGGTGTGCCTTCTTAAAAGTTAATTTGTGGAATTTATTTCCTTCTTAATGCGTTTGAGCCAATCAGCTGTGTTGTGACAAGGTAGGGGTGTATACAGAAGATAGCCCTATTTGGTAAAAGACCAAGTCCATATTATGGCAAGAACAGCTCAAATAAGCAAAGAGAAATGACAGTCCATCATTACTTTAAGACATGAAGGTCAGTTACTCTGGAAAATGTAAAGAACTTCGAAAGTTTCTTCAGGTGAAATCTCAAAAGCCATCAAGCGCTATGATGAAACTGGCTCTCATGAGGACCGCCACAGGAATGGAAGACCCAGACTTACCTCTGCTTCAGAAGATAAGCTCATTAGAGTTACCAGCCTCAGAAATTGCAGCCCAAATAAATGCTTCACAGAGTTCAAGTAACAGACACATCTCAACATCAACTGTTCAGAGGAGACTGTGTGAATCAGACCTTCATGGTTGAATTGCTGCAAAGAAACCACTACTAACAGACACCAATAAGAAGAAGAGACCTGCTTGTGCCAAGAAACACGAGCAATGGTCATTAGACCGGTGGAAATGTGTCCTTTTGTCTGGAGTCCAAATTGGAGATTTCTGGTTCCAACCGCTGTGTCTTTGTGAGACGCGGTGTGGATGAACGGATGATCTCCACTATTTGACCAAGAAGTAGAGTGATGGAGTGCTGCATCAGATAACCTGGCCTCCACAATCCCCCGACCTCAACCAAATTGAGATGATTTGGGATGAGTCGGACCGCAGAGTGAAGGAAAAGCAGCCAACAAGTGCTCAGCATATGTGGGAACTCCTTCAAGACTATTGGAAAAGCATTCCAGGTTAAGCTGGTTGAGAGAATGCCAAGAGTGTGCAAAGCTATCATCAAGGCAAAGGGTGGCTATTTGAAGAATCTCAAATATAAAATATATTCTCATTTGTTTAACACTTGTTTTGGTTACACAATGATTCCATATGTGTTATTTCATAGTTTTGATGTCTTCACTATTATTCTACAATGTAGAAAATAGTAAAAAATTAAGAACAACCCTTGAATGAGTAGGTGTTCTAAAACTTTTGACTGGTAGTGTATATCAGCACTTCTACCTGCAGAGCAGTCTTCTCCAAAGAAGCCTTCGTCACAGATACACATTCCTTTCACGCAGGTGCCGTGGATGCAGTCAGGATCGCATTTCTGTTCGCTGCAGTCCTCGCCAGTGAAGTGGCTGAAGCAAACACACTTCCCGTCCACGCAGTGTCCCTTATCGTTGCAGTCGCCTGGGCACATCAGCTGGCTGCAGTCGCTCCCTGTGTAGCCAGCGTGGCACACACACTTGCCATCCACACAGCGGCCATTGTCGTTGCACTCATCAGGACAGGTGGAGACGGAGCAGTCTGGACCCTCCCAGCCAGGGTTGCATTGACAAATGCAGGTGTTGTGCAGGTAGGTCCCGTGGCCACTACAGGTTGTGTCCACACCTGTGAAAGTTTAGGAAAACACGTTATGTGATATCTGAAGTGTCTGTACAGTTTCACAGTTTTAAATAACATTTGGGATTAAGTTAAATATTTTTTTTCCAGATATACAATGAGCGTACGAAACATTAGGAACACCTGTTCTTTCCATGACATAGACTGACCGGGGAATCCAGGTGAAAGCTATGATCCCTTATTGATGTCACCTGTTAAATCCACTTCAATCAGTGTAGATGAAGGGGAGGAGACAGGTTAAATAAGGATTTTTAAGCCTTGAGACAATTGAGACATGGATTGTGTATGTGTGCCATTCATAGGGTGAGTGGGTAAGCTAAAATATTTAAGTGTCTTTGAACGGGGCATGGTAGTAGGTGCCAGCTGCACCAATTTGAGTGTGTCGAAAACTGCAACACTGCTGTGTTTTTCACGCTCAACAGTTTCCCGTGTATATCAAGAATGGTCCACCACCCAAAGAACATGCAGCCAACTTGACACATCCGTGGGAAGCATCGGAGTCAACATGGGCCAGCATCCCTGTGTAACACTTTCAACACCTTGTAGAGTCCACGCCTCGATGAATTGAGGCTGTTCTGAGGGCAAAAGGGGGTGCAACTCAATATTAGGAAGGTGTTGCTAATGTTTTGTACACTCAGTGTATTTTAGCTCTTGAATACAGATGTTCTGTCAGATCTTATGGTGATGGACTGCACTGTAGGCTTACCTTCTGCTCCACCACCTTTTCCACCACAGCAGCCCTGAGAGCATTGACTCTTCAGGTGTTCCACCTCCTCCTCCAGCCCGTTGACTCTGTACAGCAGAGACTTAAAGCTCTCCGACTCATCACAGTCACACTTTGGGGTCTTGAGGTTGATTTGGTGCCTGAAAACTATGTCGTTTTCCCCCTCAGGAGTAGTGCCTCCCTCCAGCTCTTGCAGGCCTGAAGACTGGTCCTGCTGAGAAGGGAGGGTCTGCAAGGCAAGTTTACACTCAGGGCTCTTGGCCAGGTCAATCTTATAGACGTGGCTGAAGGTGACTCCTTTCTCAGCGGGGGATGAATCATCTTCTGTCACATATGTGGACGTGACAGTGCACACTATGCCTATCAGGCAGAGGGCACTTGTGAGCCAGTGAAGTCTAGTGGTCATGGCTAAAGGGAAAAATAAGTGCAATAATTGGTTAAATTTATATTAAACTTTTAACATGCACAAAGAGCACTGGACTTGACACCTTTTTGGTCTATTAAGTTTTTTTCTTCCAGAGAGAACATGGCTTTATTTTACAAGATTGATAACGACTGATGTTAAATAAGTCTCATTCATTCTAGTTAAGGAAGACTGTGTTTTACAAAAGGGACATGAAGCATGTCATAACCTCCAGCAGAAAGCCAGCAGTCATCACTCCAACTAAACACTTTTATTCCAAGTTCCTAACTATTAATTGTGCTCAGCCAACCATAATAGCTTCAAGGAGCATGGAACCCTGTCTTCCAAATGATGTCATATCTAATGACAATGATGTCATCCAGCTTTTGACTTCCCCGGAAAGAGAAATTATATGCTATCAAAATAATAGGCCAAATATTTCTCTGAAAAAAAACCTCTAAGGTGAATAAAAAGTGACCTGTTTCTCAAGCATGTTCGATTTAACCGTTGCATCCTTGGCACGCAGCCATTAGAAATTTGGTAGTGGAGCAACTTATGGTCGATGTCTGAACTTGTGTGGTCTGTGGAAACTGAAAACCAAACTTAAGTGACTGTCTGATCTGCTCTCCTCTAAAAGAGAGGCCATGGTGCTTGACAACTGGAAACTCCACAGTAATAGCATATATGCTTTAATAAAATGCTCGGGATACTTTTAAAAGAATGGTGATTGGTCAATAGAATATGCATGTAGTGCAAAAACACTAATGGGATAGTTCATTAGGAGCACACAATGCGGAACTATCAAATAGGTTAAATGACTCAAACTCACATACTGTATATTGTACCTATGGGAACGATAAATGGTGTAGATCAACAGTGCAAGGTGATTGTTCCTGTAACATTGTAAACCAGTATAAAGAAATCTTCATCAATGATTATATCAATCATACAACACTAGCAACCTCATCTACAGGCTGAATTCATTACATTGGCGTCAGCTGTGACACAAGTAGTGCTATCTGAGGCTTGTCCATGTAGTCACCTGAAGGATTGTGAAAGTAAGTGACCTATAAGTGATAAGCACAATGGCATACATTTGACCCCCTCTCAATCAGAAAGATTTCTGGCTCCCAGGTGTCTTTTATACAGGTAACGAGCTGAGATTAGGAGCACACTCTTAAAGGGAGTGCTCCTAATCTCAGCTTGTTACCTGTATAAAAGACACCTGTCCACAGAAGCAATCAATCAATCAGATTCCAAACTCTCCACCATGGCCAAGACCAAAGAGCTCTCCAAGGATGCCAGGGACAAGATTGTAGACCTACACAAGGCTGGAATGGGCTACAAGACCATCGCCAAGCAGCTTGGTGAGAAGGTGACAACAGTTGGTGCGATTATTCGCAAATGGAAGAAACACAAAATAACTGTCAATCTCCCTCGGCCTGGGGCTCCATGCAAGATCTCACCTTGTGGAGTTGCAATGATCATGAGAACGGTGAGGAATCAGCCCAGAACTACACGGAAGGATCTTGTCAATGATCTCAAGGCAGGTGGGACCATAGTCACCAAGAAAATAATTGGTAACACACTACGCCGTGAAGGACTGAAATCCTGCAGCGCCAGCAAGATCCCCCTGCTCAAGAAAGCACATATACAGGCCCGTCTGAAGTTTGCCAATGAACATCTGAATGATTCAGAGGAGAACTGGGTGAAAGTGTTGTGGTCAGATGAGACCAAAATAGAGCTCTTTGGCATCAACTCAACTCGCCGTGTTTGGAGGAGGAGGAATGCTGCCTACGACCCCAAGAACACCATCCCCACCGTCAAACATGGAGGTGGAAACATTATGCTTTCGGGGTGTTTTTCTGCTAAGTGGACAGGACAACTTCACCGCATTAAAGGGACGATGGACGGGGCCATGTACCGTAAAATCATGGGTGAGAACCTCCTTCCCTCAGCCAGGGCATTAAAATGGGTCGTGGATGGGTATTCCAGCATGACAATGACCCAAAACACACGGCCAAGGCAACAAAGGAGTGGCTCAAGAAGAAGCACATTAAGGTCCTGGAGTGGCCTAGCCAGTCTCCAGACCTTAATCCCGTAGAAAATCTGTGGAGGGAGCTGAAGGTTTGAGTTGCCAAACGTCAGGATCGAAACCTTAATGACTTGGAGAAGATCTGCAAAGAGGAGTGGGACAAAATCCCTCCTGAGATGTGTGCAAACCTGGTGGCCAACTACAAGAAACGTCTGACCTCTGTGATTGCCAACAAGGTTTTTGCAGTACTAAGTCATGTTTTGCAGAGGGGTCAAATACTTATTTCCCTCATTAAAATGCAAATCAATTTATAACATTTTTGACATGCGTTTTTCTGGATTTTTTTGTTGTTATTCTGTCTCTCACTGTTCAAATAAACCTACCATGAAAATTATAGACTGATCATGTCTTTGTCAGTGGGCAAACATACATAATCAGCAGGGGATCAAATACTTTTTTCCCTCACTGTAGCTGTGATGTCATAGTCTATATGGTCTGGCTACTCTGACCTCAAGGTTTTCACCCACTGAGTTAAATAACAGACACAAGACTCCTAGGAAACATGGTGGAAATTTGGTGTGGCACTAATACAGTTACTGTACATCATTAGCAACATAGCCAGCATAATTTCTCCCAACACGTAGCTTACTGATACTAAATTTTCACAAGTGTTGAGCCATTTTCTCTCTGTGAAGTTTACTGTTGGATGGAAGGTTAATGCCAATAGTTATTTGACTAAGAGGTAATTATTAGGCTAATGCTAACCACTTGAATTCAGGTTGATCATAGCCATTTTGTTATTTAGACTAATGTTGTCCACTTTCATGTTAGCCATTTTCATTTAGGCTAATCACAGAAGAAAGAGAAAACTCAGATGGGTCACATGGGGTAAAAACCTGAAGCATCCAGTGAGGGCTTTTGATCACTACCTAAAATGGTAATGAGGAAGTCCAGTGGCAGGCAGATGGTCAAGGAGGAGCAAGATCTCATAATTTCTCATAACGATCTCAATACAGTTTTCTGGTCCAAAACTAGAATCTGTTACAAACAGAGTGCAAGTTTTGTGTACTTGACTCTTTGCCAAAGTTTCTAAAAATGGCATGGTTTAGGAGTGTAGGGTGAATTCGAGTTCTTGCACATGCGCACTTCAGAGAGTATGCATTCCCTAACGTAAATATGCAAATACATACTAAAACACTGTGGTGTCGCGTCTGCTGTTGGTGGTTATTGCTGTCAACAAAGAGTCCGCTTAGGCTGCACCGTGATTAGAGGCTTTTATTAATATCACACGTTTACAGCATAAGTTACAGACCCGCGGTGTCTGGAGAAGCACCTTCCCAAATTCATCTGAATGCTTCTGACTCCCCCTTTGTCTAGCTCCTACTTATAAACAATGGCAAAAATGGGTTGCTCCCTCTTTCGTCCAATCACCGGTCTCCCCTGGGGCGTCACCCTCCAAACGGCTACATTTGAACTAAGATAAACAGTTTTTCTTTGTCCCTCAAGACTAGTCATAATCTTCATACACGACAACACGTCAATAGGATCATGCTAGCTCGGCTTTGCCCACCTCCTTGCTTGTTCTGACCACTGTGCTTCATTGGCTCCTATTGTAAATGTTGCCTCTGTCCTATCTTGTGTTAGTTATCATAAACTTTGGGCTAATGTTAGCTATTTTCATTTAGGCTAATGTTAGTCATTTTCTTTTAGGCTAATGCTAACCATTTTCATTTAGGTTAATGTTAGCCATTTTCATATTAGCGATTTTAATTTAGTCTAATGTTAGCCATTTTCATGTTAGTCATTTTCATTTAGGCTATAATGTTAGCCATTCAAAGGAACGTTAGCCATTTACTTACAGTAGCAAGCTGGCTAGGCTGGCTACTCACCAGAGGTTCCACTTCCTGTAGATCTGATATTGGAATAATGGTGGTAGATTTTGAGCATATTTGTTGACATTTTGATGTTTCAGCCTGTTATACTTATTTTTGTACCCCCTTTTTCTCCCCAATTTCGTGATTACGATCTCGTCTCATCGTGCAACTCCCCAATGGGCTCGGCAGAGGCGAAGGTCGAGTCATGTGTCCTTCAAAACATGACCCGCCAAGCTGCGCTTCTTAACACCCGCCCGCTTAACCTGGAAGCCAGCTGCACCAATGTGTCAGAGGAAACACAGAAACACCTGACGACCGAGGTCAGCCTGCAGGCACCCGACCCGCCACAAGGAGTCGCTAGAGCGCGATGAGCCAAGTAAAGCCCCCCCCCGGCCATACCCTCCCGTAACCTGGACGACGCTGGGCCAATTGTGTGCCACCCTATGGGACTCCCGGTTACGGCTGGTTGTGACACAGCCTGGGATTGAACCCTGTTTCTTTGAACATTTTTAGGATTCCACATCTGTTTTTCTCTTCTTTGACGCTTAGTGAGCCATGTTTAGATTTTTCATTGCCAACTGGCTAATTTCTCCTCGAATGTTCAAAGCAGTGTTTCCGAAAACATTTTCAAATTGGACACTGCCAACATTTCACTTGCAATGTTCCGTTGCACCCTGCAGTATCACAAACATGCTGTATACTCTCCACCCTGTGTCAGACAGCCAGCAGCATCTAAGTCATTATGTCAAACTCTGAACATCTTGACAAAGTCACTGATGTTGTAGGCTGATTATGATGCCATAACACTTTTTTCTTTTTTTTTTAGGGGGTAGATCAGCTTTAATATTGCAGATAGATTGTAACATCCATCAATGTAATTGTCTGCATCACTTCCAATCCCCCATATGTTTATTTTCTCTTGATTTTCTCTCGCATATATACGCATATACATATCCTTTAAAAATATATATATATTTCCCTTTATTACTTTCCAACCCCACCATCCCTTCCCTAATTGGAGTAAACTAGTGAACAACAATGCTTAGGCCTCTACTTCATGCTTATACTATATACATTCTATTTTGTTTGTTTTT